TTTTTTTTTTTTTTTTTTTTACAAAATCAGAACGATTTGATCCATTTCACATTGAGGTTCAATTCTATATGATTTCGAATAATGATTCAGTTCTGTATTTTTAAGTGCATTCATAGTATGTAAATGCTAATTGAATTCTGACAATTTTTAGAGTTAAACACATCTAGGAAATATTATGTATTCTCTTGTATTCACATCTAGGAAATATTATGTATTCTCTCAGCGTTGTTAACAACTCAATTGTGATTAATTCAATTTTCAACATTGTAAAAAAATTCTTGACTGAAACAAATGATTCACGATTCAAAAATCATTTTTTTCAAGTTCAATGCATATGCATCGGCAGAATTTTTAAATGATCGAGACAACAAGTGAAACAGTTCACTACTAGCATATGGTTATAATTTAATCAGAAATGTGAATGTTAAATACATTTTATGCAGTTGCAAAAAAAAACACACACTTAACATGTACAAATATTTTACTGAAAATAGTAAAATTAAAATAGTAAAAGTTTAATTTAACTTGTTCATCAAAAAGATTTGTTCATGAATTCACTGATTCGTTCCAGTTACTCTTTCAGATCATTTACCTACAGCTGTCTTTTAGTGTCATGAATGAATCAGCAATTCATCCAAGCAAATAATTTGACCAATTTGTAAACAGCACAGCGTTGTTAACAACTGAAACTATCTACTTTGAGACTTCAGAGAGTATTTAAACTTTTTTAAACAAATGTCAACAGTCATTTTTTTTTTTTTTAGCAATTTTGTCATTGAACGAAACCGAGTCAGTCCATGGATTGATAAATGGATGAAAGATGTTTTTTCCAAAAATATTGATTAATTCATAACCAAATCACTACTAAGCTGTTCTAACACAGTCTATCTGAATAATATAGCACATGCTAAGCTGCTGGAGAATCAGAGTCTTTGTTTTGGTGGCGTGATGCTAGAAAGCAGTGCCTGATACAGTGTGTGATACAGATTTAATCTCCAATACATGTATGTGCTTTACATCGAGTCTGTGTTGTTAGAGTTTGTAGACACCAGATATGTGCATATGCATGTGCATGCATGCATGTGTGAATTTGATTTAATAAAGGCAGTGCCTTACCCCATCATACTGGGTTTATAGATCACTTTTCACTCACCCTTAGAGACAGAAATATAATTAAATCACGGAAAGGTACAGTATTTATGATGATACAGATATTAATGATGAAGATCAATCTCATAATTAGCTCCCTGATGAGTACTACTGATTTGGCCTTGAGCTGCACAAAGTTTCTTGAACAGCCCAATTGAAAATACTAACTTAAACCTGCATGTTTTTCCCCTATGCTTTTAAAAGTATGATCATATTTCACATTGGTCTTGCTAATTAGTAAACTAGCTAAGCTGTTAACCAGAAAAAACTGATGAAGCTGGTTGACCAGTTTGGCCTTTTTAGTGATGTTTATTGATAAGGAATGTTCACCATTTCAGCATTTACTCCCCCTCATGTAATTCTAAACCTGTATAAATTTAAATTTTCAACAGAAGACGCCTCAGTGTTTGGGGAATGGTAAGTATTTATTTTTTTATTTTTTTTAATGTTTTGAAACAAGTCTCTCATGTTCACCAAGGCTGTATTTATTTAAATCACAACTACAGTAAAACAGTAATATTGTGAAATATTATTACAATTTAAAATAACAGATTTTGTATGCTTAATATTTTTTGTGGAAACCATGATGCCATTTTTCAGGGTTATTGATGAATGGATAGTTTTAAAAAAAAAACAGCATTTGAAATATAAATCTGTTGTAGCATTTTATAAGTCTTTACTGTCACATTTGATAAATGTAATGCATCCTCAAAAAAAAAAAAAAGTATCCTAAGTTTTTCAACAGCAGTTTATACTGGTGATGAGCTTTTTTTTAAAGTGCTAGAAAAGAAAGAGAACTATTGATGTCTGTATTGTGTATATGCTCTGAGGTAGTGCCAATATGTCCTGCAAAACAAGGAACAATAAAGAA